GGGGTCATTCTGCGCAAGATCAGCATTGTGATATTGTTTGTTCTGTGGCTCTCAGGCTCGAGCCCGCTCAGCACAGCGAGGGTACATGGGGGGGTCGTGCGAAGTCCCCGCCGAGCTCGCACAAGTCACTGCCCAGCACTTTGCTATAGCATTTGCAGCGAACACATCATCATCATCAACAGCATCATCATCATCATCATCATCACCATCATCATCAACACCATCATCATCAACATCATCATCATCATCATCAACATCATCATCACCTGGAACGCCCCAAAATGCACTTGGAAGAGGAAGCCCTGAGCACAACAAGCACTGACGCACATTCGGTTGTTGCTCGATGTTGGCGTCTCTTGGAGTTTCTCTTGAGGCATCCTGTGGTCCCTCGAGGCCGTCCTGGAACCATCTTGCGGTGTCTTCGACGACCCTGGGCCGCCTCGAGGGCCAGGGCGCCATCCCGAACCATATTGGAAGCCTCTGGATGCCGAAACGGCCTCACCCAAAGGCCTCCGAAGGGGCCCGGGACGTCCAGGAAGAGAATAGGCTTTACGTGGGGTAGGGGTGGGGAAGATGGGCCCACCCCTGGGCCCAGGGAACTGGTCACCGATTCAACCTGCTTATGTGTATATAAATGTACACGTGCGTATATGTACATATGTGTATATATATGTATCATCTTACACCTGTACGACCACCCTTCGGGTGATAAGGAGGTTAAGCTGGGGGAGGAACCAACGTCTCACTCGGTCGGTCTCACTATCGATCTCACTATCGATCTCAGTATCGGTCTCGCTCGATCGATCTCACTCGATCGATCTCACAATCGATCTCACTCGATCTATTTCATTCGATCGATCGCACAATCAATCTGACTATCGATATCACTATCGATCTCAGTATCGATCTCACTATCTATCTTACAATCGATCTCACATTCGGTCTCCCTATCGATCTCACTATCGATCTCACAATCGATCTCACAATCAACGACATCATCAGCATCAGCATCATCGTCATCAACGTCATCAACATCATCGTCACCATCACCATCACCATCACCATCACCATCACCATCATCATCATCATCATCATCATCATCATCATCATTAGCATCATCATCATCATCATCATCATCATCATCATCATCGGGACACCATCATCATCATCATCACCTCATCGTCATCATCATCAACATCATCATCATCATCGGGACACCATCATCGTCACCATCAGCATCAGCAACATCATCATCATCATCGGGACACAAGAATCATCAGCATCAGCATCGAAACACCACCACCATCATCATCATCATCATCATCATCTCGTCATCATCATGAACAACATCATCAACATCATCATCATCGGGACACCATGATCATCATCAACATCATCATCATCAACAACATCATCAACATCGGGAGACCATCATCATCGTCACCATCATCATCATCATCACCACCATCATTATCATCGGGATACCATCATAATCATCAACATCAGCATCATCATCGGGCCATCATCATCAAAATCAGCATCATCACCTCATCATCCTCATCATCAACACCATCATCATCGGGACACCATCATCGTCATCATCATCATCAACATCATCATCATCATTGGGACACCATCATCATCAGCATCACTATCATCATCAACAGCACCATCATCAACCCCATCATCACCATCATCATCGGGACACCATCATCATCAGCATCACCATCATCATCGGCATCATCATCGACATCATCATCATCATCATCATCATCATCATCATCATCACCAACATCATCGTCATCGGGACACCATCATTATCACCACCATGGCCATCATCATCACCATCATCATCAACATCGTCACCATCATCATCATCATCATCATCATCATCATCATCATGATTATCGTCATCACCATCATCATCATCATCATCATCATCATCATCATCATCATCGGGACACCATCATCATGACCACCATCACCATCATCATCATCATGATCATCAACAGTATCGACATCATCATCATCATCATCATCATCATCATCATCATCATCATCATCATCATCATCATCATCATCATCATCATCATCATCATCATCATCATCATCATCATCATCATCATCATCATCGGGACACCGACGGGACACCCGCGGGACACCGGCGGGACACCGCGCCCCACCGGCTCCCGGAAAAGAAACATTTGGCCCGGCCACGCCTCAGCCGGAGGCGGGACACCAGCGGGACACCGCGCCCCACCGGCCCCCGGAAAAGAAACATTTGGTCCGGCCGCGCCTCAGCCGGAGGAGACTTTCTTCTCGCCCGCCCACGCAGCTTCGCCTCGCCCGCACGCACGGCACGCACGAACACGAAACCGAAACCGATTTCCTGGTAGGGGGGGCTCTCCGTTCCACTTCGATCTCACCCCCTCACTTCCGATCTACAAGACTTCATTGGCGCTTCGCGCCATGCACCTTGGTCCTTGAGGCTTTGCATATCTAGGTCGTTCGCGCCATGCCTAGTGGCCGTGGAAATGTGACCCCTTGCCTGCGGTGGTTTGCAGAAGTCTTCGAAAGTTCGGGCAGTCCCTGGCCCTTCCTGGGCCTCCAGGGGCCCCCGAAAGGCGCTGGGTGGAAGGCGAAGGATAGGAGGGGGGGAATGTCGGGGAGCGAGGGAAGGAAGCGGATGTGGGGGAGGACGAGTGGTGGACCGGCAGATAGATGAGGAGGAGGGGGAGGAGGAGGAGGGGGAGGAGGAGGAGGAGGAGGAGGAGGAGGAGGAGGAGGAGGGCCCAGAGGAGCAGGGGGAGGGAATGCCAAGCAAACCGACGCAATGTCAAGCAATGTTGCAAAGTACAAAGCATTGCCAAGCCAAGCATGTCATGTTGCAGCGGATTGCAACGGGGCACGCGAACGTGATAAATTGGTAAGAAATGGACCGAATCCCGGGTTCGCAACAGATTTTCAGGAGATGTGGTTGCGAACCTGGGATTCGGGTCAGTTTTAGGGAAAACGCTGTGTGGGTCTTGTTGGTGCCCAGGCGGGCCGGCTTGGCGCCCTGTTGAGCGGTCCTGGGGCCATCTTGGGCCGTGTTAGGGAGCTTGGGGTCCGTCCTCTAGGCGCATTACGTGGGCTACGCAGGCCCTCCTGGTGGCCTCCCATGGCTTTTCTGGGGGGCCCCTGTGCCTTCTTTGGCTTCTCTTTGGCGCCTTCTGAGGGCCTCTTGGACTTCTTGTTGGCTCATGTGGGGCTTCCTTGGGCAGCCTTGGGGTGCGTAAGCCCTCCTGGTGGCCTCCCATGGCCTTTTTGGAGTCCTCCCGTGCCTTCTTCAGTTTCTCTTGGGCGCCTTCGGGGGGCATGTTGGGCCTCTTTCTGGCTTATGTGGGGCTTCCTTGGGCAGTCTTGGGGCCATCCAGGCCGTGCATGGGCTCTCTTGGGGGCTTTTTGGGTCGTCCTGGGGCGATACTGTAAGCCTGTCTGGCTGTTGTAGACGCTGCGAAGACCCGAACAGCGAATATGCTTAGATTGCGCGCTTCCCTACGGGAATGAAGCGATTTTTGCGTTCTGACGTCCGGTTGAGAGCCTCCTGGGCCGTCTTGGGGGCCTCTGGAGGCCATCTGGGTCCTTCTTGGAGCGCTCTTGTGTTGTCTCTCTTCGGCCTCTCTGGTCAGCGCTCTGATCGCTTGGGCTCTACTGGCAAGACCCGGCCGGCCAGGCGCCCTGGGAGGTCCTGGACGAGCCAGGGGACCTCTGGCAAGGATGTCCGGGGGTCCTGGAAACCCCGGATCCTGAGGGTTCGGTTTTGGGGGGGTCGTAAAAATATAGGGAGAGGGATATACAGATGTGAGTATGCGTCTGTGTGTGTGTGTGTGTCTGTGTGTGTGTCTGTGTGTGTGTGTCTGTGTGTCGGTGTGTGTCTGTGTGTCGGTGTGTGTCTCTGTGTGTGTGTGTGTGTGTCTGTGTGTGTGTCTGTGTGTGTGTGTCTGTCTGTGTGTGTGTCTGTGTGTGTGTGTGTGTCTGTGTGTGTGTCTGTGTGTGTGTGTGTCTGTGTGTGTCTGTGCGTGTCTGTGTGTGTCTGTGTCTGTCTGCGTGTGTCGGTGTGTGTGTGTGTCTGTGTGTCTGTGTATGCTGTGTGTCTGTGTGTATATGTGGGTGTGTGTGTGTGTCTGTGTGTTTGTGTGTCTGTGTGTGTCTGTGTGTGTCTGTGTGTGTCTGTGTGTGTGTCTGTCTGTGTCTGTCTGTGTGTGTGTGTGTCTGTGTGTGTGTGTGTCGGTGTGTCTGTGTGTGTGTCTGTGTCTGCGTGTGTCTGTGTGTGGCATGGACGGCCCGTTCGTTTGGAGGCCGCACCTCAAGCTACACTGCTACCTGGTCGTGGATTGCATTACCACCCCGGGCCTCCTCTGCATCATCTGGTGGCACAACGTTGCTCATCGCCTTCGTGGTGCTCTTCTTCCTCCTGGGCGTCGACCTGGTCAAGTGGCGCGTCCTCCCCTGCAGTACTTGAGGCTGGTGTTCACGATGTGCCGCTGACGGCAACACCATTTCCTTCGCCTTCCGGGTCTTCGCCCTCGGTCCCTGTCCATGGCGTACCTTTTCCTGCACATCCACTTCGGCACCGCCTGTTCCCCGGGCCCCGCCCGCTCCGGCCACCTGAGGCCCCGCCTTCCTGTGCCCTGTCTCCCTAATTAAAGCTGTGCGTAGCCCGCCTAGCTTTTAGCGGAAGAGGTTCGCTCTCGCCCCGCAGATCAAAAAGTGTGTCTGTGTGTGTGTGTGTGTGTGTGTCTGTGAGTGTCTGTGTGTGACTGTGTGTGTGTGTCTGCGTGTGTCTGTGTGTACCTGTGTGTGTGTCTGTGTGTCTGTGTGTTTGTGTGTCTGTGTGTGTGTGTGTCGGTGTGTGGATGTCTGTGTGTGCCTGTTTGTGTGTCTGTGGGTGTGTGTCTGTGTGTGTGTCTGAGTGTGTGTGTGTGTCTGTGTGTCTGTGTGTCTGTGTGTGTCTGTCTGTGTGTGTGTCTGTGTCTGTGTCTGTGTCTGTGTGCGCAATGCATGCACAAACAAACTGCACAGTAGCCCACCATACGCATACTCTACGAGGCGTCAACTGCCTCGACGAACGCCTGCATATCGGTTGGGAAGACGCAGGCCTGGGGCAGCCCTACAGCCCAGCGATAATAATGAGTGCAGGCCGAAAATTCAATTTCGGTTCGGAACATCTTCACTCCCCGCCGCAAGTAGGCGGCCAACGCGGGATACCCGCTGCGCGCTTCATCGTTCCCATTGTTGTTGCTCCCGCTGTAGCCCGCCAGGCCCTCCAGCGCCGTCAGGATGACAGTCGTCGCCCTTCTCCGGGAGGGGATGACCGGCCCTCGATCCCCCGATCCCAGTCCGAACCCGTCCCGGTAAGCGATGTCGTATCGCAGCAGGCACATGAGCAGGCGCACGTCGACCAGCGTGAGCCTGTCGCCCAGGAGGAAGGGCCCGCGGTTGGCGAGGCGGTCCTCGAGGGCGGCCAGCATGTCGTATACGCCGCGTGCAGCGCCCTGGGCTCCACTCGCGTTCCCCCGCATGAGGTTGATGCCGCACTTGTACACGCCGTTCAGCAGGCCATCGTAGATGTCCTTCTGCAGCTCGTCCACCTCCGCCGAGGGGGCGAGGTCGAGGGGAAGACCCGCGAGAGGGCTCCCGAGGCCGGCGAAGCTGGAGCCCAAGATCTTGAGGATGCTCCAGGAGTCGTTGGTGACGATCTGGGAAGTCTTTTTGTCCCACAAGACAGGCACGGTGAGACGACCTGTGTACTCCGTGTCGTGCGCCGTGTACACCTCGTGCAACCAGAAGGGCTCCCGGTCGAAGTCCGCGCACGCCGAGCCGGACAAGAACACCCACCCCTGACTGCTCTGTCCATCCGCGACGTCCATGGAGATGACATGCTCAAGGCCAGCAAGTTTGCGCACGGCGCGAATACCACTGGCCCAAGGACACACGGCCGATAAAAACAGGTGATATCGATCGCTCTCAGCCACATACTTCACGTCCGTCGCTCCCGGCGGGTGGACGAAGTCCGTCACCTCGCTGGAGGGACGGATCCATGTTCCTGGAGAGTTTGTGATCATAGTGTCGGGGCAAAGCATGCCGCACTCAAGCTTCGCCCGGTCAAACGTTCCTAAAACTACTCGCGGGTCCTCCCCGCCAGTCACGATCCGTGATTCCGCATCTGCACGCCTAGGCGGAAGACCTTGCCTGTCGTCGGACTTCTGGAAAACGTACATCGGCTGGACTAGCTGGAGGGAATTGCCGACTTCGCGGTTGAAAACCGCGTCGAACTCATCCCAGAGTGCCGGCGACAAATGATTCTTCCAATCACCGATGTCGCCCTTCCGAAGCAGCATCGAGCCAACCGATTTTCGTTCTTTCATTGATCCGAAGCTTACGGCGGCGCAGACAGCGTCTAGCTTCACTTGGGGACAAGGGATGTTCAAGAAGCTCGCCAGTCTCTGCACTTCTGCCCTCAACCGTAGCTTCAATGCCTCAAAGTACACAACTATGACTCGCTTCTCGGGCATCATGGCCTGAATAACCTTCTCGGTGTCCCGGAGCCAGTCCCACTGATTCCCGTAGGCGTTCGGCGTCTCCATATCAAGGAAGCGCCGAAATGTTCCCTTCCCATGCTCGTTGCCAAGCCAACCATCTTTCGGCTCACCACGGAAGAAGTGGAGGGAACACATGACATCCTTGAGGTTTCGGACGACGACGACAAGGCGGCCTCTGCCGTCTTTTTGCACGAGTTTGCCTGGCAAGTACTTGTGTCCATATAGGTGAGTCGAAAACAGCCGCGGTGAGCTCTGCCCTAGCAGCGTGGACAGCGTGAAATCACCGAACATCGTCTTGCGCATCTCCTCTTGCGACGCTGTGGTGCCAGCGTTGCCGAGTGCGCCGATCTCGATCGGGGTGGCCTCCGGGTACGCTTGAACTTTCGCACCTGGCCGCGCCTCAGCCTCCTCCTGCTTCTGACCCGCGGCATCGAAGCCGTACAGCAAGCTGTGTAATATGGAATTGACCCACGTTGTCCCGCCCTTGGGCAGCGAGCACAGAAACACGTCATCCTCCTTCGTCTCCATCTCGTGGAACGCCTCCGCAGAGTCCTCCTGGAAGAAGAACGGGACTGGAATTCCCTTCCACCTGCGGCCTGTGTGGGGAGTCTGCTCTGCTATTATCGACGGTGCTGTGGAATTGGGCCCTCGTTTCCCCTCATTGCGCCGTGCGCCCCGTCACCCTCCTTCTCCTCCTCCTCCTCCATGCGCCCTCCTCTCCTTCCAGTACCCGCGCGCCCATTTTGACACGCCTCTCGCATGTTTGGTGACCCAACGGGAGCTCAAGCCGAAAGCGGACACGTGTGACGAGCAGACGGGTTTTGACCCACCCCTCGCAAGCTCGGTCTCAGATGGGGAGCCCAACCTCTGGCCTCGATGGGAGGGGGGCACATCGGACCCGCTTTGGCCGATCCCTCACACGCTTCGCGCCGGGGGGGGGGGGGGGGCGCACGCCACCAGCAGATCAGTCTCCACTCGCACCTTTTTCACCCATGAGCAGAGGAATGGCTGCGGAATTAGCTCAGTCCATCCGCGTCCATTCCCAGCCCTGCCAACCCTGTGTTGAAGGGGCTGGGCAGGGCAGCTGAAACGAGCGAGGGGATCGGTAGTAGAAAAAAAAAGGCATGAACATAGACCTTTGGCGCTCCGCGTAGATTTCATGGATCTGCGCTGGACCCCCCTCTGTCTGGCGCCGCCAGGGGGGGCAGCGCGGATCCAAGAAATCCCCTCGGAGCGACAAAAGATTATGCTTCTGGCGTTTCCTTCTCCGAGTTAGTGCCTCACCTGACCAGTCCCCACTCGCACCTCACGCCTCCCGCGCCGTCCCAGGACGCACGCAGCACGGCCCCGGCGAGGGAGGGCTCGTGTGGCTTCGCCGCTGGGCCCCGGTGCGGGGACCCCGGCCGGCTCGTGGCCGCCCGTGGCCGGCTCGTGGCCGCCCGTGGCCGCCCGTGGCCGCCCGTCGCCGCCCGTCGCCGCGGGGCCCCGGAGCCGCCCTGGCCGGCTCGTGGCCGCCCGCGGCCGCCCGTCGCCGCTGGGCCCCGGTGGCGGTCCGGCCCGCGAGTCGCCGCCCGTCGCCGCGTGGCTTTGCGCTGCAGTCGCATCGCATCGCACTGCGCTGCACTGCGTTGCGATGCTTCGCGCTGCTTTGCAGTGGCATTGCACTGCATTGCATTGCTTTGCAGTGGCATGTGTCGCACTGCTTTGCAGTCTCGTTGCATTTGCTTTGCAGTGCGATGCCTTGCCCTGCGCCACATAGATGGCGCCACATGGATTGCACCACCTAGATTGCATCACATCGATTGAACCGCAAAGTTTGCAAGAGGTGACTGCTTGGGGTCAACGCTGGCTAACATCCTTGTACATAACTCCTCCCTGTCGCACCCCGGACGTGTCAGTAGAGCGAGCTGGGCGTTTCGCCAGGAACTTCCTCACAGTTTATGATCCTGAAGCTTAATCTCTGCAACAGTTTCAAAGATGGACGGCGGCAAGTTTTCAAAATGTTGCTCTCGCCAAAGCGCCGCGCACACTCGTCCAAAACATATACAACAGCTCCAAGGAAGGAGGGCGGGTCGTTTTCAGAATGCTGCTCTCGCCGTAGCGCCGCGCACATTCGTTTTGATTAAACAGTGCAGCATACTCGGGGATGGGGAGCGGCTCCTTTTTTCAAAGTGTGGTTCTCGCCTTCGCGCCGCGCGCATTCGTCTATAATTTATTACAAGTTTGTAGCAGTTTCCAGGATTCGTAAGGCTGAAGTCCCAGGAACTGCGTTCTGGCATGATTTCGGACTGTCCGGACGCAACAGTCACGTTGATTCGCGGTTCCGAAATCGCAGGACTGACCAAGAATGGACGTCTGGCGCGGCACGAGAGGGGTTGTCGGGTCTCGACAATCACATTGATTCGCGGCGTCGCAGTCCCAGGAATTGCGCTTTGGGAGGATTGAGGATTATCGACCAGTTGTCTTTCAGTGGGACGCTCTTCGCACCGAAGACAATGTCCTGCAGGTACCTATGAAGTGTGAACTCGGAGGGAGAGTGCATCGCAAAATCGCTGGTGCAGCTTGGGCTTCGACTGGTCCTCATCCTCCCCCCTTCCCTCGCCCCCCCCCCTCCCCGCTTGCTCAGACCAGAAAAACTTGCGACATCGCGACAAAAAACCACGCCCGGACCCCCGGACCCCATCCTTCCGCGTCAGCTCTCGAGCCGGCTCGATCTGTGATTGTCCCGGGGCCCGAGATCGAGCGAAAATGCCCGACGTGAAAACATTGCGAAGCCAGGATTAGGTCGGGCATGTCCCCCTACAGGTGGATTTTGGAAGAAAAACTACAAATAGCCAACAAAAATATGCCCAAAGTGTCAAAAAATGCTCAAAAAATCGTCCCCATCATATTTTTTGGCTATTTGAGAATATCCCTCCTGTAGAGGGACAGGCTCGACTTAACGCCAAGACCTCAGGTTATGTTGCATCCTCGGGGGGCCTCGTCTGTCCAGGCGCGCCCCGAGCCGCGTCGAGTCCGTGTCGAATCCGTGTCGGACGCGTCGAACCCTCGCTACATCCACGCCGAATCCGCGTCGAATCCACGCCAGATCCGCGTCGAGTCTACATCGAGCCCGCGTCGGGCACGAGAAGAAAACACAACTTTGGGGGACAGACGAGGTCCCCCGAAGATGCAGCGTAACTCAGGCTCCCCCCCTCCTCCTCCTCCTCCTCCTCTTCCTCCTTCCTTCCTCCTCCTCCTCCTCCTCCTCCTCCTCCTCCTCCTTCTCCTCCTCCTCCGGCCTGCTGCAGATGGCGGCAAAGGCGGCAAGAAAGGCAAAGGCAAGAAAGGCAAGGGCATCGGCAAGGGCAAGAGCGACAACGCAGCTGGTTATGGTCGGGTCACCCTGCCGTTGGCTCCTGGTGCGCAGTTCCTCGTGTCCCAGCCAGACAACAACGACATGGAGATCGCAGAGCTTGAGCAGCTCGTGCTATGTTGGAGAAGGCGGGGGACACCGCCAATGCAGCCAAGCATAAGCGGACGCTCCAGGAGAAGCAGAGGAAGATCGCGGAGGCATCGTACGTGGCGCCCTTGTCCCAGCGGGTCACCATGGCCCACAAGCAGGTGCAGGAGCTTAACCAGAAGTTAGAGAAGGCAGTCGGAGACTTCGAGAGGCTCGCTGAGGGCCTTGAGCAGCAGCACCAGTGGGTGCAGCAGCTGTCGCGCGAGTTGGACGAGCGCGAGGGCGAGCATCGTAGGCTGGTGGTGGAGCTCAATGCGCAGGTCGTGGATGTCTCCCAGGAGCCCTCCCAGGTCGCGGCCCTCAGCGTGGCTGGCATCTTGGACGGCTCGATCGAAGAGATTCCTCTGTCCTTCGCTGGGCTCGGGTTCGACGCCGCGGAGTATGAGATGGATGAGAATGATAAGAAGGAGCTCGCTGAGCGTACCACCAGGCTTCAGACTGACCTGGCAGCGGCGGTTAAGGCGATGTTCGGCCAGGTTGCGGAGAAGGCGAAGGCTTTCGAGCAGGAGCAGGAGCAGATGGCACAGCGGCTGGCGGGCAAGCGCAAAGCGGCAGTCGGATGAGGATGGCGCCAGGCCCGCCGCTTGGGGCAGCAGCTCCTGAAGGCGCAGGGGCTCCTGCGGCTCCAGCAGCGGAGGCCCCTGCGCAGGCGACGGTGGCGGGCTCAAAAGCAGAGGGCGGCAGAGAGTTGTCACCCACAGCCCCCTCAGGCCACCGCTGCGGCCTGACGGGGGCAGGAGCTGATTCGCCTGGCGCTGCTGGGCCCACGGGGCAGTCGGCGGCGCGCACTGGCGATGCAGGCCACGATTTAAGGACGCGGCATGATCAGGATCAAGGGCTTCATCCACCGGCTGTGGGGGAGGGCCCAAGCTCGATGGGGCTTCCGCCTCGAGGCCAGACGACGTCGATGAGGATGGGCCTGAGGCTGCGTTCTACGACGGCGTCACGGCGGCGGCGACCAGGTGGATACTAAGAGTGGACTCGGCCGAGTCGGGTGCTCGTACTTGGAACGCTTGGTGTCGGCCGTATGTGAAGCACATGCTGCAGCAGCCGCAGCACAGGCAATGGGTCGAAGCAGCTCGCCAGGGGAGGACTCTGGATGAGATGGCTGCTGAGATTTGTGATGACGCAGGGCACGATGGGGCAAATGGTCGCATCAACATCCTGGGTTTCTTCGATTGGGCCGCCGCCAACTGCGCTGGGCGATGGCTCGGCACTGGAATGAGTTGCGAATAATCCAGGACGACATGCGAGAGCGTCTTGGACATCGTGCCCCACGCGCCGAGGAGGTAGAGTATTACTATGGTGATGCAAAGGCTTCGGTGGCGAGTGACGGCGATTTCGTCTGCAGGCGCTCCGAGACCCACACACGAGAGACCCCTGGGTGGCTCTCCTCCACGCTCGCAGGCTGCTTCGTGCAGCGCCCACACCAGCGGAGGTTCGTGTGCAGAGCGGAGATCGACAACGATGGCTTCTGGGTCGTCGACGCCGCTACACTCATCGACCCTGCGAAGGCTGCCGAGTGCGGCTGGAGTGAAGGCAGAGAGCGCAACAGGGACTTCGCCTTCCGCAGGGACTTCGAGTTCGCCTCAGCCCAGGGCCCCTGTGGACGGTGCGACGACGGGCGGAAGACTGGTGGCAGCGGCCGGCGATCAGCCGCTTGGGTCGAGGGTGGCGCCACTTGCCACGGATGAGGTGCTCGAGGTGGTCTCGTACAACAGCAACGCTTGGGCCACCGCTCGCAAGCTTCTGGAGTGGGCCAACCTCTGTCTTCGACATTGCGCTGCCCCGGGAGACGAGGCTCACGAAGGCGCAGGTGGAGGGGCCTCGCTCTTGGGCTTTCGAGGCTGGCTTCACATCGACCTTTTCGAGCGCGGTGCCGACAGGGACGGCAGAGAATGCGACTTTGGGAGGGGTGGCAGTCCTCACCTCGGCCAGCTTTGGGGCGCACGACGTGGAGCATGTGGTCACCAGTGAACGCGTGTGTGCTCGGAGCGTCGTGTTGTCGGACCAGGTCCAGCTGCTGGTGGTGTCGGTCTACTGCCACACGCAGATCGGGCTCACGGGGAATAACTTCACCTTCCTGGCGCAGCTGAGCGAGCTGGTATCGGTATTGCTCATGCCTATTCTGATTGCTGGCGACTGGGATATCGACGCCGAGGCTCTGAGAGAGTCGAGGTG